GACATTTGTCGAGCATTGGTCCCCACCCCTGGAAAATTTGGGTTCATAAAAATGGAGGGATGTGACGCAAAAAAAAAACTTTGACTTCTGGTAGACGACGAAGCATGGGTACCGTCAGATTTTTTTGACAACGACTCGAGACTTGCAGAGCACGGGCATATTTTTCGCTCATGGCGTGGGGGGCGTCGCGACTCTAATACCTACAGACACCAAACCGTACCGTGAAGTAGAACAAGTGTGACAGGAGAGCCGACTGGAGTACCGCAACTGTCCACATGCACAGCATGTCCCTTATACCGCCAAGTCTTTTCCTTCGGCATGTCTTCTGGCTTCGTCAGTTGCATGTTCCCGGGCAAGAAAGTCATTTGGTTGCGCCAGGCGGGGAGGTTTGCGTATGAGGTAGCCATGGTAAAATGTCAATCCACCAATACCCAGTCGCTGTCTGTTATGGCATGTGTCCACGCGGGAATGTCCATTTCCAGAGGGGGAAAGGAACAAAGGTGAGTCTGAGACATAAAAGTCACGTCCAATTTATCATCAACTTAACCAGCGAGAGGGGCGAGAAGACTTTCCCTCGCCCGGCTCCGCGCTCGTATCCTACGGTGGGAAAAGCAGTAATTTGGAGTGCCGAGAAGTTTGATTGCAGCCATTTGTCCTCGGATTCAGTGTCCATCGCCATTATTTTTGGTGTTGTTCTGGTGTATCTGGGTGGTGATAGATGTTTGTTCGTCCTTAAAAATGTAAAGAAGGCGGTTGAATTCTCACGTTACCATGGCCTTCCTCTTGTCTATACTGTCTTGTGGACATTTGATTGCCATTTCCCCCAAATGAACAACGTTCCCAACGTACTTGCGCAATCACATGTATTTTACAGTTAGAACGGTATGCAGCGGTTTATCGCGTTGCGAAAATTGGCAGCGGGGGGGTTCCTTACACCTGTCTTGTCGCCGCATCATGGAAGGTACGTTTCTCTGCTATCAGTTTTGCAGTCGTATAGAGGTGATCGAATTCGTTCTGATTCCATGGAAGCCGACACATGCAAAAGCTAATCAGTCTCCGCTCTGAGATGGGTGTGGAATGTATGGTAGAACTCTGCACCTGCTTCTTCTCTGCGTGCGCTCTCCTGCCTCGTCGGGCTGCTCACTACTCTTTCTTGTTACAGATATTTATCCTCGATATTTAGCGGGAATATCTCTCCGGATGACTCAGCTGCTCCCACTCTAGGCCAGAACACCAGTCGTGGTACACCCATGCAGGAAGAACTCCGTGCTTCGCCCTCGCCGTCCCCGACGGTTGCCGCGTCTCCCCCCCTACCATCCGCGCAAACCATATCCATAAATCCCTCCTCGAGCTCGGAAGAGCAGGAGAAACTTTTCCAACAAGCAGCACTTGAGCTTGGACAGGCTTGGAAACAAGCGGCAGGGGTCAAACCAGGCATGGCACGTTTCGAACGCCTACTCCAAGGCGAGGATCTAGATGCCATGGAGCGGTGCTGGAGGCAGACGGTGGGAAAGGAAAGGCTGAATTTCTGGCATGTGCACACGTTTTTGGGACTGCTGTTGGACGATCGATTCCTGAATGCACGTCCCCAGAGCGGGGCTGTTCCGGCAGAATTTGAGGGAGGGCAGAAGACAGGGGGTAAGCGCGGGGAGACCCTTCGTCGGCGCTTACGCCTTGCCTCGTCCCTTTTTAAAGACATGGTCATGCAAAAGATTGCACGGGAAAGGAAGGCGGGAGGGTCGCCATTGGAGGGCGGCGCGTTGAATGCAGCCGGGGCGACGGTGTCTTCCGACCCGGATCCCACCCCTCAACATTGGCAGCGTGTCTACAATTTGATGCTGCGGGCCTGTGCAAACATTGCAGACGGTGTGTGCGCTTTGGAAGTATGGGATCACATGCAGGAGACCGGTTTTTCGGCGGGAGAAGAGACGATGAGTTTCGTGGTGATGGCCTTGGCCAAGGCTCGGATGCGGTTGGAAGCCCAAGCTCGGTTCGAGGAGGCGGTCGAGAAGGGGTTGGTTCTATCCCCTGCGGCAAAGAGTTGTCTGATCTCCTGCCATGCCCGGGCGTTGGACGGGGAGGCCGCGGCCCGCGTCCTGGAGGTGACGGTGGAGGACGGGCGGTCCCCGGAGAATCCGGGGGTGGTGTCGGGGAATATGGTCACCAAGGTCTTGGAAGTCGGCATCGAGACAGGCAACGTTAAGGTCCTGCGGCAAGGATTGAACGCCTTGACGATGCCTGTGGATCGGGGGATGGGGCTGCAGATCTTGAACATGGCTGCCAAGCGGGGCGATGGGCAACTGGCGATGGACGTGTTCTATGCGTTGGAGGGGTGGGGGTTTTCCCCGACGGCCTCGGTGTTCAACGCCGTGATACAAGCCTTGGGTATTTCCAAGAACGACGTAGCCATGCTCAAGGCTTTGAATGAAATGTGCGCGTTGGGCTTCACGCCTTCGGAGGGCACCCTTCACTTGGTGGCCCGACAGCTCTCCAAGTCCGTGGCCAGATTGGATGAGGCATACAATAACCTGGTCGCGCTCCAGAAGGCCTACCAGGACCATGTGCGGCAAGAGGCTGAGGGACGGCAGGAACAGCAAGCGGTGGATGGAAAGGACGGGGAGGGGGCGGACCCCGCCTTCGTGCCCAATGCTCCTTTGCCTGTGAGTGGGTCTGCTGTCTATTTGATTGTCTTGGGTTGTGCGTATGCAAACCAGTTGGACCGTGCGTTCGCCACATTCGAGGACTACCAACCTGTCTTTGGGTTGGCCTACGACACCAATGCCTCGAATGCCCTGCTGCTCGCGTGCCTCCGGTCCCGGTCCTTGCAAGTTGGGGCGGCTATCTCAGTGATGAACGAAATGGATCGCCTAGGTATCGCTCCCAACGACGAGACGTGCCATTTAATGGTTCGCATTCTGGCCCAAGCCAAGGAGGTGGATGTGAAGAGGATGGAGAGCGTTCTGTCGCACATGGACGAGAAAGGCGTGGTGCTCCGGCCCGCCACCCAGCGATTGTTGATCCTATGGTATGCGTTGCTTGGAGAGCATGATCGAGCGCAGGAGCTCTTGAGCGGGATGCACGCACAGGGTTGCTATGTACCTTCATATTTTGAAGAGAGGTTAAAACAAATTCGTCTCAATGGGGACCGGTTGTGAAAGTATCGGGTCTTCATGCTGGATTTAAATGTGAAAGATTGCAACAACGATAAGAAGAGTGAGCCCTGGCTAAATGCACTCGTCTTTAAAAAGCAAAATGAAAATAACACCTAGTCGTACGGGGAGTGTTTGTTATAACCTTCGCAGAAACAAAGCGTATTGAGTCGATTCGTTGCGACGCACATTCACACGACTTATGACGTATTTAATTTAGTAATTTCTTGTTTTCTTCCCTTCACGATTATTGTTGATAGTAGAAATAGAGGTCTATGTGCCGCGTTCACATATGCAATTGAAAAAGTTTTTCGAATTTGAATTTAAACTTTTTCGCCCGTTACCCATTTTAGAGGAACGTTTCGCATATTATGATCAGGCCAGTATACATTTACACGCGTCAGATCCGGATGATATGGACAAGTTTCCTTGTATTTGATTGGTAGAGTGGCTCCAATTTTTCCCTCAAATTCTGGCAATCTCCCGAAGTGTCTTGCCTGGAGGACGATGCGCCCGTCACGTGATCTTGGGACTGACATAAATGCCATTGTTGTCGATTCGATTCCCCACCCCAAAAAATGCTTTTCATAGACAGAAAATCAAAACTGCTAGAATGGTACACTTTGCCGGCGCCAGACCATTTTTGATGGCATTCATCACCTATCTTATCAGCATCGCTCCGCAGGCCGCGGCTGATGAGGAGCTCAAAACAGTTACACCCTCGGCCATGCCATCAATATCAACCAGAGCCCCCACTACAGTTCCCTCCATTTCTACTAGTGTTCCAAGCATTAGCCCTACGACACTTCCAAAACCAGTCGATGAGAATGCGCCAGAAAATAACAATAATGAGGAGGACCCGTTCGACGATATGTATGACGACGAGGTTGAGAACCCCGTGGTTCAAATTGACTTACAGGTCGCGGGAGCCACAGAAGAGCAAATAGAAGCAGTTGCAGGCCTTGTCCAGTTTATCGCCGGCATGTCTTTTCCGGGTGCTAATCGCTCTGACATCAATGTCACGGTTGAGTGGAGGGGCACTGTTGTTGAGATGGATAGCAGCCAGACCCCACTTCCCCGCCGATTGCGATCAGTAGGGGAAGTACGAGCTCTTCCATCCTCTCGTCGTGAGACTAGCGGCAAAGATAATGAAAACAAACGCTGTAAACTGTCTGTTGGGGACAGCGTGAATGTGACCACTATCACCATCCATGGTCTTCATGGTGAGACCTATGTCAGGCAGATCGAGAGTTTCCTCGCGCTGATCTCGTCCGGAATCATACCCGTGGTGATCCTGGACCACATTCCCGTTTTTAAATTTGTCTGTGACTCAGAAGTGCGCATGAGCAACGAAGCCCCCTCCCTTCGCTTTCAGCCGATGGACGTCCAAGAAACAGAAAAGACAGGAAAAGATAAAACGAATGTAACGGCCATTGTAATACCTGTTGTATTTGGCATCGCTCTTGTCGGAGCGGTTGGATTCCTACTTTTAAGAAAATTCAGTAATAGGGCGTAGTGGCTGTGGGAAGTTTTCTAGCAGGTTTGGGTGGTCTGCTTCCGTACGGATAGTCTCTGTGTTAGAAAGTAATAGCAAAATGTGCGATCACACCGATGGCTTGGATCAAACCAAAGCGGCTTACAGGTGTGACGGGAGGTAAGTAGAGGCGAGAAGGGAGAAGGAGTCAGTGGAAAGCATCCACTGGCAGACCGGGGCGATACGTTCGGCAACACAAGTAAAGCGAGGGGGTAAGTGGAGCTTACGCACCATTTGAGATATTAATGGTACAAGAACAAGAAAGTCTGACCGATGCATCGTCAGGTCAAATCTATGTCAAGATTGCACAGACTCCCCCGACTTATTTGATGTCTTTGTGCGTCAATTGGTTAACTTATGAACAGTCGAGAATACAATTTTTCGTGGGCACCTTGCAAAATATCCAGCAATGGATTCTCCTGTCGTGGACCCCTCCCTCCTTCCTTTCCTCCTGTTGCTCTTTCTGAAGCTTCCTGTTCCAGAAAGCGCCCCACCACGGCTTCCGCGTCCCCGTACAACGTCATCTGCAAACGAACCGCAGCCAGGGGACCCACCAGGCCCAGACGCGTGGCAGCTGCCATCAAGTCCCTTAAAACCAGGTAACAGAACATGCGGAAACACGTGACCGCGTCCACCCCTAAAGCCTGACATAGCCAACCAAAGACTGGAGCTTGATGCCCTCTGGCCGATAGGATGGACATGTCGTGTGAAACTCCCAAAGACTCCGATTCGCCCGCCGCGTCGTCCCTGTATCTGTATCCTACCCGCCCTCGGATCAGATCCCTGGCAGTACGCAGCCATTGACAGTGCTGGGAAGAGAGAGAGGGGATGTTGTCGCAAGCTAATCGGAGCAGTGCTAGGCCTTGAGCAGTCGAAGCCCTACGGCCACCTTCCGTGGTTATCAGTGCATGGCATTCTTTATCGAGTGTTGCCCAACGAGATACCATGGACACAGATGAACCGGCATCTGTACACTTTAAGAGTGCCGTCGCGTCCTTCGCTGCATGGTGTGCAGCACTGACCATGGGCAAGAGAAGAGAGGCCTGTTGCTCCATTGTCTGGCGGGCAAAGGCAAGCAAGCCAGTGACACGCATTTCCTCATCGACGCTCTGGAGATCGAAATGCTTCAGTTGCAGCGCTGCTTCAAGGCCATACGAATGCGCGAAACCCCCGGTGGGCAAGTTTGAATCCAGTAATTGCCAGATTACCCACGAGACAGTGGAAGGGGCATAGGATTCCATGGGGTGCTCGCAGGCATACAACGCTTACACACCATAAGTTCTATTCCCGGGGGTGCATGTTGCTGCGACAAATTTCTCGATGCAGTACTTTCTCAAATGCAAACATGCCTGTGTACGAAAGATTTGTTGTACAAAGTACAGTCAAAATTAGAAGCAGGGTGACGGGTTTGGACGTCAGCATCGCACGATTGCAACGCCTCAAAAGCACACAAGCTGCAGAAAATGTGGACATAAACATGAACTCTCAAAAATCCATGATGCCTTCGGGATGTCAATTTTTGTGCGCCGTGTACGGTTTCTTGATGTACATGCGTGCAACCAACTGGACCAGAATTGACATCAACTTAATCGCGGTTTGGCTGTCGCCACTCTACAGGGGTAGAAAACCCCTTATGCGGCACTTCTTCTCTTTGAGCCCAGTGCGTGGCCAAAAGAATCATCTTGATCTCAACAACACCTACGCATGTCATCTTTCCTCCTCCCACCGGTCAAAGCAGCGCAAGGTGCATTTTTCTTTGGAGCCACACGCCGTTCTTCCTGCCTCGTCGAGGGCTTCTCACGCCGTTCCCTTCGTCTTCTTGTCCACCCTCTTCCTACGCTTACAAAACCGCGCATCCATCATCATGGAAGTAGACGATGAAGAATTGCGGCCCTTGAAGGACCTGCTGGATGATTTATGCGCCTCTTCTTTGCCTATCACCAAAGAGAAAATCTCTAAGGTGGCTGAATGCGCGCTGCGATACGTGCAAAAGTATAAAAAGGTGGTGCACATGATCGAACGGTATGCCAAGCATTACGCCGGAGTCCGCTATCGTTCGGCCGTCATTTGCGTGATCGACTCCCTTTGCACGAAAGCGCACCGGGCGCACAAAGAAAAAGATGTCTTCATACCCCGGTTTCGCCTCCGCCTGCTGGAGACATTGCAAGGCGTGACGACCTTGGAAGGTCGTTCGGAGCGGGCTTTGATGGACCGAATTTTCGTGGAGTGGCGAAAACGAGGATGGTTCGACGTCCCACCCTTGGCAACGCTGGCGGGCGAGAAGGAGGGAAAACCGACGCGCGGCACCCAAAACCCCCAAGGACAGGAAGGGCCCCGCAAAAGAGGGAAAAAGCGAACCGGAAGCACGGAAGTGCTCGAGTCCACCACCCCGCCGTACGACCCGCCCAGGACAAGCCGCGGGGTGCCGGGGAGGCTGACAGAGGACGGCATGACCTCCCCCCAAAATGAGGAAGGACTTGGTTCTCCCACCCCCCTGTCCCCTCCTACCTCCCCCTCCCCCCGTCGCCCAGACTGCGGCCTCGGTACCTCCTTTCCCTCCTCCTCAAGCCCTGCCTCTTCCGAGCCTCCCCGCCCACGATCCACGCAAACGCGCCCGCACGGCCCCTCCCCCCCTCCCTCCTCCACCTCCTCCACCTCCTCCGC